ATTATAATTGTTATTATTATAGCATCATATTAAAAGTTCATACAAGTTTTGATCATCCTAATTAGGAAGGATAATAATTAATAGTGTATACAAATACAAAAGTATGGGTAATTTGCAGGAACACATACAATGGTGTTTGGAAACAATTTTTATCTTTTAAAATGAGAAAATCAGTCATTTGTCTGAATACCTCAAAAAGAAAATTGGAGTGCTCAGAGTGCATTCTTTTCCACCTGCATGAAACAGACTAATCAGATCAACTAACCAGGAAAAGGAAAAATTCGATTTTCAAAATACATTCCATTTGCAAATCTGATTTTTCTGTCAAAATGACTGGCAAGTCTATTCCTGTTAAGGAGAGGTGAAATGAAAAAAGGAGACATCCTGTTGATAATTTACCCACAGTACTGATCAATGTCATAGCCATTAGTCAGTGCTTTAGAGAAACAATGGAAATGCACTATAGACAAACACTCCCCATTTATTATTAATTTAACTTTAAGACATCAAATTCACATTCTTATACAAACTCATAAATAACAGTATTTATAATGTGCTTAACTTTAAAGTATTAACATAGGAAAGCAAAATGAAAGAACCAGTACAAAAAAAGCAAAATTGTGATTTCTATATTTTTGAAAATAGGCAAATACTGTACTTTAAATTCTAATATAATTAAAACCTGTAACCCAAATTACTAGTTCAAATGGAAAGGCCTATAACCATGTTTTTATTACATTTGCAATCTTAAATATAAATACACTGTATGTGAGGGCGGAGAAATACAAAAAGAACAAAGGATGTAGGTACTGTACAGACTATGGAAGTATGTCAGTTGGCAGCTACTGTGAATTAAGCATTGAGTGGTGTTGACGCTAAATACAGAGAACCCACAGTCAGTTTAATGTACTAATATGGGAGAAGGTGAATCATTATTGCTGAATGGCCATTAAATCGCAAATTATGTTCTTCATCCAAAAAACACACTATTCATTTTCTAACATCTTTATCCAATACAGGGTTACAGGGGAGCCGGAGCCTATACTGGCAAGCAATGGGTACAATGTAGGGTACACCTTGGACGTGACACAAGTCCATCGCAGGGCACACACAGACACAAACATGTGCAAGCACACACTCACACCAGGGCCAGTTTAGATGCGGAATAACCTACTTGAATGTTTTTGGTCTGAGGGAGGAAACCAGAACATCCAGAGGAAATACATGTGAAAAAAGGGAGAACACAAAAACTCCATGAAACTAGTTTTTTAATCATACATATTGTATGCAAGCTCTTGCAATCAACTCCATGAAAATAGTTTTTTAATCATACATATTGTATGCAAGCTCTTATTTAATGAATTGTAAATATGCTGTATAAAATTAGCTAAAGCATATGAAACACAAACAGCATCCATTTTAAACAACAGATCTATCCCTATAGGGTATTTTTTATATTCCTTAATTTTAAATGGATGTGATACTTATTTTAACTTTGATTTATTATATGTGCATTTCAATGGTATTGCAGGAAAAGTCCAGCATTTCTGATTTTACAGAAAAAATTCCCTTTAGCACATTTTGTCTGTTAAATCTGAAGTCCATTAAAGTGTAGTCCAATAAAAAGGGGGATTACTGTTCAAATATTATTGACTTCATATTTGAAAATGACAATTGAGTCTCATTGAATTATTTTTATTAAATATAATTTTTACATATAACATCATAAATATAAGAGCTGGGTTTTGAATTCTAATACTATATCTGTACTAGAAAATAAGCTGAACAAAAAAGATGTTATACCTCTCGGTTGTGTCTGCAGTATGTTTAAAAGAGTGTGTCCATTAGCAAGTTTCAAACACCAGCAGAAAGAACGACTAAATCCAGGTTAACAGTTCAGCTCATTTAAAATTTCTTTACTAAATTCTTCATTATTTCTGCAAGCTTATGCTAGTTTTATAGACTCCACTAGCTGAAAACCTGTGTTTGGATAATGAATAAGTTTACCACAGGACATTTTCAATTTTCTTTCAGTTTTAGTAAAACTGTGGGAATGCTTTGCTACTGTATGTTCTCCAACAGTTATCATAATATATTGTGTTAATATCACTTACCGTTCTGCTAAACTACAATTTGTTTTTACCTTAGCATAGTATAGTAATGCATTGTAAGAGTGAATAGGGAATTATTACAAGTAGGGCTTATTATATAACCTGATTGATAAATTTACTTGGGGCTTACCTGCACTGCACCTGAAGCACACGCATGGCACATTCATTCCTCTTGCAAAAGGGATATGCTGGTTTTAAGATTTTGCAATTACAAAGGAAGAGCTTTCTCACACTTACAACAGATTAAAACTGGAGGTAGAAACTCATTTGAGTCTCATACATTTTCTGTACTACACAGCACAAAACCCATACTATAAAACAAATACCTAGGATATAAAAGCATAAGCAATGGTAAGTTGAACCTTTCCTCATTATTCACACAAAATTATGTTTATTTATCAAGGGTATAAATATAAATTGAATAACCTTATCTGTTTTTCACTGCTAAATAACAATACTGCCTAAAGGCTTCTAATTCCACTCTTAACGAGTATGCCTATCTATCCTGTAATATTACAACTGAAGAGAGGCTACACTTACCAATGAAGAAACAAAGATACTGTACATGTATTTTCTGCATTCTTTTAACTCTTGCAACTCTGGTTAAATTAGCTTGAGGTTGTTCAAATTGTTCCGTAATTACACATGTCCTGTTGTAGCCAATACGAGATGGTGAAATGCATTTTGCTTTCGTTTTGGCACATCTTGAAAGAATCCATATTTCCTCAAATGGTACAAAATATAAGATTCATTTTAAAATCTTCAGTTATGTTTACTTAAAAAGTAACCATTATCATTTGCTTTTCAGTGTTTTTTAAAGTATTTGAGATCAGGGGGTATCTTTTAAAATCTTATTAAAATAGTATTATTTAAAAGACAAATTCTGCTGATGTTTCTTGGCCACTAAACATCAACATAGCAATGCATGGACACTTATCAGGATAGAAACCATCATTCTTTATATCAGACTGATATTTAAATAGTTTTTCTTTCATACTGAGCATCAGATGAAGCTTATCACATTTTGTACATTCAATATTTTAGGAAAATAAAGTATATGTATTGTAGCTCCATGCGGGGCACTTTAGCCATGTGCACTTAAGGCAGGCTGAGAACAGTGCCTGAGGGCGGGACTACCGGACTGTATATAGTGGGGTGGAGGCTTGGAGACAGCCTCTTCCCTTCGTGTGTGTTAGTGTAGGTGAAGTGCTGTAAGCCCTGTCCCTGTGTGTGTACCTTTCCCAGGTTTGAGTTAATAACTGTGTTGTTCAACCCCATTCCCTGAGTCCCACGCCTGCTCCATTCCATACCGAAACCCACAGTCATTACATTGGTGTTAGAGCGGGATGGAGCGGCATGGTGAGAGCTCCAGCACGTGAAGAGAGAGCCCTAGCCGAGATGGAGGGTCCTGGCTTAGACGGAGGTCCCTGGCCCAGACGGAGAGGTTAGCAGGAGGAGCCCGTGGAGCAGCCTGCCTTGCGTGTGCAGCCTGCAGGGATGGTTTGGGGTCTGCAGGACGCTCGACTCTTCAGCCGGGGGCAATGTAGCGCCATGCGGGGCGCTTTAGCCATGCGCACTTAAGGCAGGCTGAGAACAGTGCCTGAGGGAGGGACAACGGGACTGTATATAGTGGGGTGGAGGCTGGGAGACAGCCTCTTCCCTTCGTGTGTGTGTTAGTGTATGTGCAGCACTGTAACCCCTGTCCCTGTGTGTGTACCTTTCCCTGGTTCGAGTTAATAAATGTATTGATCGAGTTAATAACTGTGTTGTTCAACCCTGAGTCCCTGAGTCCCATGCCTGCTCCATTCCATACCGAAACCCGGGGTCATTAAAGTATTTTGGTTATTTGTTAAGTGTTTTGGAATTATTTCAATTAAAATATAATTAATGTGAGCTTTGGCTGGACACTGGGATGTCAAGCTTCATGATAATAAAGAAAAGAAACATACAGAACAACACATACTTAAAAAAAGAAACACAGCTTTGTGCTATAGATATGTTTCAGATAGACTTTCCAGCCCTGGTGCCATGTCCTTTTTTTTGTTGAGTATGACAAATTAATTGATTACGGGACAATTAATGGAGATGTCCAGGTATGACGATCTAGGTAGGAGTGTAATAACTACAGAACGTAATTGTTGACAACCTGACTGCATGGCGCTACAGATAAAGTTCTGGGACCTGTAATGTTTGGGCTGATTCCAATGTGATACAGCAAGATAACTCATGTCCCCATGCTTCTGGTATTACTAAAGCTTTCTTTAAAGATGAAAATGTGACAGTTTGACAAGTGGCATCTAGGCCTCAAAGATCAGTGAAGAGGCATATGCTTGTCCATGCTTTACAAGAGGAATGGGACACAATCCCAAAAGACATCAACTGTAGCTGGGTGCAAAGCACAAATCTCAGAAATGTAGCTTCCAGTGGTGGCGATATGCTACTTGCTTCTGACTCTCACAGAACACCCCCTGTTGATTAACCCTACTGATGACAAATATTAATCAGCCTACCAAATTCATGTCATGTGTGTGCATTAAAATGCCAGGGCATTTGCTATAAAAATGATTTTGTCACTTTCCTGATGATAAATTGCACATTTGTTGCAATCATAAGCGGTTTCTTTTGATGCTCACTTTAAATCAAGTAATTTCCATCATTTTCACATGTTGTTTCTGTTCATAAAACAGAACACATTTGCTAAAACCGAGTTATACACAGAAAAAGGCAGAATTTGTCTGTGAATACCTGGCAATGTCATGCATTCGTATTACATAATCACCAACCTAATATGTAAGAAATACATATTCCAATTTCTCATTAGCTTAATTATAAAATGAAAAGGCATGTCCTTACAGAATGAAATAAAGAAACAGATTTAAATTTTTTTACCAGATGTTGGCTGAGCTGTGATGTAGTCAAGTTGTCCAGAATTGTTATGTTAAATCCACTGGTGCAAAAATAATCCTTCTTTCTGGAGCATTTTCCTTGATTCTACAAACAACAAATACAGTAGCAACTTCAGAAAAATGAACCCAGAAAATTTTAACATGACCAACATGTTAACATAAAAGAAAAATATACTCTATATAGCCGAGATATATTAATTTAAATGAACTGAGAAAGGTTATTATTTAAATTTCCACACTTTGTTAAGCCTTCAGTATTCCTAAGTAAATATTTTGTCATTACAGAAGCGGAGATGGAGTGTGAGTACTGGATTGGGCTGACTATCAGGTCTGTAGGAATTAGAGACCTAGAAAGGTTGCAAAAGATATGGCGAATATTGTACTGAGAGGCATCAAAGATCTTGGACAGGTGGGTTGCTTGGTCATTTGCCAGGCATAACGGGGGAGAAGTACACTTTTAAGGAATAAGGTTGGTGTGTTGAACCAAATCTGACTGGAGACATTAGTAGCTAGAGGAGTGAGGCAGTGTTAGGTAAAACAGCAGCACGTCTTCTTCCCACAGAGAAGAGGAGTCTACACACCGCAGATTGAGTCCTTAGTCCATTCTGTGCCTTAAGAACTGAAGACTAAAGGGCACTCCCTGAGAGAGAAGAAAGGAAATGACAGACTGGCTGCTGTTGTGTCAGAGACGCCAACATTTGTTAGAGAGAGGCGTAATTAGCAGTATAGGAGCAGTGGGGTGAGTCAGAGAATGCAGAACATGGAAGTTTAAGGTTGATAAAAGAAGTAACTGAGAATTGACGATAAGTGAAAAGAGAGAATGTAAGATGAAAGAGAAAAGCCAGGCAACACAGAGTTAGCATGCATACATCTATATTTACTGATCTAAGAAAAAGAGAACATGCATAACTAAAATCTAGTGAATAGAACTGGCACTGCATTTTTACTCTATGCCTGGTGGTGTAAGAACAGATACTATAAGGAGACAGCAGGACACCATGGACTGAGTCAGTATGAATATGAATACTCCTCTACCTAGTAAAGAGAGTTAGAGATGTGCTGTATAAGTAGCGTGATGAGTAGCAAGAGTTGTAAATCAGAAAAGAGATCAATGAAGACATGAAGGTGAATGGAGTCTGCTCAGTATTCTTGGGAAAAACATAGGAAAAGAAATAGGATCCCTAGGAGCATACAGAAAGCAAAAGAGAGCAGAGACGAACCACTTAAAATGCTGAACTGTCAGGTGGCAGTGACAAAAAAAGTACAACTTGTGATAGAGAAAGGGTTGGCATTGTTACATTCAGGGCCATCTCAAAGGGTGGGGTGGGGGGGTGAATGGGGTGGCCACCCAGGGCCCCGTGCTTACCCAATACCCAGTACCTGAAGGTACTGAACAGGTAGCATTAGCAACAATGATGATTAGCAGAGTATGCCACCACTACTACACACAACAACCACCCAAGGCCCCGCCCATCCTTTGAGACCGCCCTGGTTACATTTCCAAGATAAAAGCCCACTAAGTATCTGTAATTTAGTTTTCCTCAATATATTTCACACAAAAGGACAATTTAAAAGTCAACAATAGTTGATGTAAAAATTCAAAGAAACCTGATTACAGATTTGTATGCAGAAACACTTGTTTAGAATAGGCTGACAGAACTGGGAATTACCATCAATTTAAATGTGGCCTCAACAATCAGATGAGGAAAATTAATAGAAACTCAATGAGCCAAAAATGATTTTATAGCCTAAATAAAATGATGCCTGAAAAGCACATTATCAAGTGTGCCCCTTTTCTTTTTTGTTTTTTAATGCAGATTAAATCAATGTATTTAAAGACCTAAGGAAATACACTTGTGCAAACACAAACAAGTCTCAAATAGTTTTATCAGTAGGGAATAAATGCAATAATAAACCTATTACAAATAACAATAAGGCTTTTTGGAACAGCTGAAGCAAAAGTTCACCAACTGTATAAAGAAAGTGAAGGATAATTATTACTAAGAAAGCTAGCAGTCACAACAGAAATTAAAGAAGTTGGTTTAACTTAGTTGGATTCAATTTCTTACTCCTGCTTTGAATATTTTTGTAGTTCTTGGCTGTTATGTACAGTACATCCAGCTTGGTGTTTGATATGTTGCTTCAGCACTTAAACAAGAGTATCATCTGAAGAGACTTGTCAGATCTGAATTATGAAGTCCAGTGAAGAGGTAAATTAACACCACACAATGCTCTGAAGTCCACCACTTCCCAACCTCATTTCCTCACAGTCAGCCTTTCAGAATCTTCCAGAATAATTTATGTGCTGCAAAACTGATTAGGGATGTCAGTTGAACATATTGCCTACTGAGAACATGCATAACTGAATAAAAATCAAGTACAAAATTAAACAACCATAAACAGGAGATGATACAAACTAATTCTTCTAATTTAACATTGTCAGGGTTTACACGGACATGTCATAATGTATTTTCTCTATAATACAAGTTTTGTGTGTCTGTTTCTGGAAATGCATACTAGGCAGTTCTGGTTTAGGAAAATAAACAATGTATGTGAATGGAAATTTTGAGATAAACATTTATATGGTGGGTGGCAGTATGAATATCTGTTTGTTATAAACTGTAAGGCAGTTTATATTGTATTGAATAGTTCATGCTATAATAATAATTCAATAATTGTCTATATACATAAAATGCGATGATAATTTAAGATAGCGTAGTTAGACCCTTTTAAAATATATATAAACAGATATGAGTACTGTACTGTACTGTACTATACATCCTGCCTTGCTCCTGTTGGTTGCTGGGATAGGTCCTAGCATCCCTGTTTGGATAATGCGGTTAGAAAATGGATGAATGTGCTATATACTGTATGTACAAACATGCATTTGTATACTTCTACATAAACAAAATTTGTTTCTGTACTGTGAAGTAAAGTGAGTTATTTTCAAACACTTTCTTGAATGCTGAAATCCTGGGGCAAACATATTCCTACTTTCAGTATGCATGGTATTTTTTATAGTGAGAAAATGATTGACTGAGCCTTTAAAGTTGTGCCACCTGTATACTCAGATTTTTGCTTTAGCAACAGAAATGTGTTAGATACTGTATGCACCTGATATGAAACAAAGTCCTTACTGTGCATATAAACCCCAGGATTGTCAGTATAAAGGAAGGTGATAAACTTCATAAACTGAAAGTAAAAGATGCTTGTAGCTGAAAACCTTCATGATTGTAGCCCCACCCCATTAAGGGCGCTCCGGCTCTTTCACATTTGAGTTGATTTTGTGCACCTGCTCCCTTCCAGCCCCCTTGCATACTTTTTCTACCTTGTTTTCCTCACTCTTCCCCGGATTGTGTTGTCTTCATAGGGTCCTGAAAGAACGTTTCATTACACTTCCACCAATACATCTGTTTTCTAATACATACAAGTATACACACACTCTCATCAGGGCCAGTTTTCCCAGAAGCCAATTTTTCTACCAGAACACAGGGAGAACATACAAACTCAGATAGCACCCCAGGTCCAGAACTGAACACAGCGTCCTTGCAATGCAAAACAGCAATACTAACCACTGCACCACCATGCCACTCTAATTGCAGACCACATGCAAACAAATTAAAATTATTTCCCCATGATTCTCCTGCATACACTGCACATAATGGATTCTTAACAGATTAATTCTAAGCACATTTGAATTTTATCAAAGGGAAGTACATTAGATAAACAAAGCACAATGAACAATTCCATATGATGACTGGAAGTATCCCTATCACAGGAAAGACTGTATCCCAGATATTTTAATAATTTATGAAAAAGACATCACACAGTATTTATCTATGTTTGGAATATGTAACTCTGTTAAAAAGAAGCCTATAAGTGATGTGCAGACATTGCCTGAATAGACAAACTTCATCATTCCTTGTATTCATAAAATGTTACTGAAGATGTAGCCATAGTGAAGGTGCAAGACGTCTTTTAAGACTATTGGAAGCTAAAAACTCTCTCAACATATTCCACATACAAACATATATAAATATGAAAACATATTCCACATGCATTATTGTGATTGAACTCGTAGAGAACTGCATGCCACTGAACGTCAAATGGAGTAAGCCCACCTACTAGTACTGTATATGCAATATACTAAGATCCATTCAAAGCTCAACATATACAGTAAGTCATATTTGTGCTTGTGTAGATTTGGTCATATTTAAACACAGGGTATTTGTTCTGCCTCTATGCTACACACATGCAGTAAAAAAATAATGAAATTAAATTTTAGCTAAGAACATTTCTTCAAATACTCTACTGTAATAATTATTACCAAACTCACCAATGCATTTGTGAGAAAATAGGATTAGAGAGTGGGGACCGAAAGATTTAAAATCTTGACCAGGACATAACAATGTAATACAATAGTGTAAGAGGAAAGCCAATTCAGTTATGCTTAAAGCATGAATGAACAGATAAATAAAGCTATTGCCTTGCTACAGAAACTTTGAAATCAAAATCCATCCTGCAACACAGCAAGCATCAATCAGTGAATGCAGGAGATCTGCTCAACACTGAATCAAAGAAACAAACAGATGTATTGGATAATAAATTACAGATGATGAATAGCATTTGACTCCAAACAAATAAAAGGAAGTACTGGCCTGATGGATTTTGACCTCTGCTTTAGTTACAAGCAGATTAACTTAAACTCCTTATTTCATTCAACCTGTATGTCAGGGACAGAAAAATGCTTCTGAGAGCAATGTGTTTTGGAACAGGAACAATAGAGACTATTATTAGACACATACAATAGATTTGTATAGTGTTAGTCCCATATGTAGCTTGTGGCCTTAACATTCCCAGTACCAATTACAAAGAGTTTTCATTTATTTTATTGCAAAGGAAATTTGAGCTCACTGGGAAGGATAATATACAAAGTAATGGATAAAAAAATAAATTAATGTTCTACAGCAAAGCTTCAGAACAGCCTTTTCTAACTCACATATTATTTATTTTGATAGCTTGGTCTGTTTTTACACAACATAAATGAGAAATTTGTTTTTCACATGATACCGAGACCTGGAAATA